AATTAATGTATTTATTTTAGTTTTGTATAGAGCGGCTTTTTTATGATCTGGGGCTCAGTTAGAGAAATTTCTTCACGCTTACCATCCCGGTGACAACAGGAAGTGAAGGGAAATCTCCCACGGGAATGCAGACGCATTAAACATTCGCAGTCCTTTGTGCGTCTGCTGACTGAGGCCCCACCGCAGATTCAGCCAATAGGATTAAAACATAATCGAAAATCAATTTGGGATTGGCACGCCCCCTCTCTTAAAGGGAACTCTTCATAATTACCTTATCAAAATTGCTTTTCCATTTCAATTTGCCTTCAGCCGGCATGATCTCCCTTGCAGGTCGAAATTCCACTGTTAAAAAATGTTGAACTATAAAACGTATGTTTACATACATATAAATCAGACATTCAGGAGGAAGCATTTCCTCAGTCTTCCCTCCCCCGTGACAGTCTGCTGCAGGCAGGACGAAGCATTTCCTCAGTCTCCCCTCCCCCCGGTGATCAGACTTCTGCAGGCAGGAGGAAGCATTTCCTCGGTCTACCCCTCCCCCAGTGATCAGTCTGCTGCAGGCAGGAGGAAGCATTTCCTCGGTCTACCCCTCCCCCAGTGATCAGTCTGCTGCAGGCAGGAGGAAGCATTTCCTCGGTCTACCCCTCCCCCAGTGATCAGTCTGCTGCAGGCAGGAGGAAGCATTTCCTCGGTCTACCCCTCCCCCAGTGATCAGTCTGCTGCAGGCAGGAGGAAGCATTTCCTCAGTCTCCCCTCCCCCCGGTGATCAGACTTCTGCAGGCAGGAGGAAGCATTTCCTCGGTCTACCCCTCCCCCAGTGATCAGACTGCTGCAGGCAGGAGGAAGCATTTCCTCGGTCTACCCTTCCCCCTGTGATTAGTCTGCAACATTGTAACTATGTGGCAAGTCACAAGGTGAGAGGCTGCAGCAGGGGCTGATCTGTGTCAGTCCAGGAAGTAGATGGTGACCCTGGATGATGCCTGAACAAAGATGGCGCTGTACTTCTAAAGAGAAAAAGCAGATGACGGCATTATCAGGGGGAGTCATGTGACCCTTGTGAGAGGTAATACATGCACATTGCAGAGCATCAGTAGCACACGACATAACAATATCTGAGGTTTGCTCGGCTTTCCAAGGATCTCACGAGATAATTGGCATTTTGTTTTGGCGTGAGGGAGGAAATATTAAACATGATGACATCGGCCATAACGTCCTATACATCCCATTACGGTGTCTCCATATTTGTCACTTCTCGTAAAGCAGTAAAAACCTTATTATACCATAAAAGACTCTTATAAAAGGAGTTCAAAAGACGGACAAACGCGACAGGCGACCAGCGCGGAGCCATTACAAGCCTCTCATACGTCTCATTCCTGGGCAGCAATTTATCAGTATGGGTTCCGAATGGAGGAGAACAGGAAGCAATAAACAATTTCATGTCAGACACGCATGTCACATCTGTCTCTGCGTTCCGTCATCTGCACAGCAAGGAGGTTTGGGGGGCTTCATCGACATGAAAGATACAAAGTTCATGTGCGTGTAAAGTCCGGCGTCCCAATACTTTTGGCACTATAGTGTATATAGGAGGCATAAGGGCTCCAAAACGCGTTGGTTCAATGAAACCGAAAA